TAATACAATATAATCTAATCTAATACAAAATAATATAATATAATATAATATAATATGTTTTCTACGAGAAAGACATTTTCTGTGTGCTGCTATCTAGCCTTATCTGTTCCTTGTGGACCTTTAAAGGAGAAAAACAGAAGCAAAGATGCATAGTGAGGCGTTTCTCTCTCTCCCTCCCTTCCTCTCTCTTCCTCTCCCCCTCCCTCTCTTCTGCATAAATGTGCACAAACACACATGCAGCTACCACCTCCCTCCCACTCCACCTCCTTTCTCCCTCCCTGTCTCCTTCAGTATGACGACAGTGATAGCTGAATGAAATGACCTTCCCTTTAGGCTCCTCCTACCGTTCTGGTAGCAGGAGGGGTAAAAAAAAAAAAAGACGGAGGGTGTGAGGATTTCCATTGAAAACATTTTTCACCGTACCACTCTGTGGACAATAGGGCGACACGAGTGCAGCCTTTTCAATGAGTGTCACCTTGTAAGTAATCTGTTTATTTATTTCAGTAGGAGCAGAACACGGTTTGAGAGAGAAGCTGTGTGTTTGTGCGCTTGCTCGTACGCGTGTGTGTGTTTGTAATTGTTGTAATTGTTGCAGAACGTGTATGTTTATGGAGTTCAGTAAGTTTGGCTGTTTTTATAGTGAATAATTGGATCTCTCACAGGACAGAATGTATTTTAAAGCAAACAAAAGGGCACCATAATGAATTAATAAAGTCTCTGCAGAACAGAACAGTATTCTCAGTTAAATGTTTCGTCTCTTTTGTTTTCCGACTGATTTGAATCCTGGTTTTTCTCTGGAATATGACGGTAAATGCAGCTGCTGGACGGATCATTCACTGAGAGGTGTGTGCCTTCAAGCCCCCATTAGTGCTGAGTAAAAGGTTCGCACCTGCAAGAAGCAAATCAGTGCTGTCTGTTACTCTGACCACATTAGCATACGGAGACCACGACTGATGTGTGAGGTGTTTGTGCTGCATCCAGCATTGTATAACAACAGACTTTGCCTTACCGGTAGTGATTACAGTCAAGTTCCTAACAGGATTTAAGGGGCTGAGTGCATTTAGAGGATTTTACACAGCTTTACTTTCTTTCCCACTGTTCAGACTGTTACTGTGTATTCTGTCTTGATTGTTCTGAATTCATTATTTTTATCGTAGATTAAAGATCGGACCATGGCCGTCTATGTTAAAGTAACTTCTTATCCTTGAACAAACATTGGTAATACTGTCTCCTTCACATCATTTTCAAACACAAAACACTTGTGTTGTTCATGTGCTCAGACACAAATCCTTGTTTTCAGTGAGCTGTGTTGATTACAGTTTATTATTGCATGGTTTGGCTATGGGCTTAGCAGCAATAATATCTAAAAGAGGATTGGAACAGCAACAATTAGGTGGATGTTGCAAAAGTTATCAGGCTGTCCTGTAATAGCACCACACTACTCTACACATGTACCATTTTTAAAAGTACGTATAAAATAGGCATGTTGTGATGACCATTAAATCCAGGGTGAACGTTCAACATACGTGAGTGTGAGAGTGAATCTAAATAACTGTTTACGAGGAGAAGCTTTTAGCATATTACAGTCGGACTTCATCTGTGTTGCAGAGTCTTTCTGTGCATCCCTCTTCCCACACTGCGTCCATGGTGTTGCTCCCTCTATCACCTGTGGGTGTGTTTTCATGATTCAACGATGAGTCACCCATTTGTCTCAGACCAGACTCCAGTGTGTGTAAACTAAACCATTAGTACGCCAACCAGACCAGTGCCCAGTACCCCCCCCCCCCCNNCCCCTACATGTATGTTATTATTCCATGGGTGTGTAATATGGCTGGAAGAAGGAGCACACTTCCACATACAAAGCAGCTGGATCAAATTCTAACACCTGGAGTCCCAATAAGTCTAGTGACATCCATTTTCTCTCGGCTGTATATGGGTCATGAAACCATTCCAGATGCCTGAAGGATTTTTCACCCTCTCATTTTTAATCTTCTCCTCCTGAGACTTTGTTAATCCAGTTTGCCCTGATTGTTTTTTTTATTTCTTTCCCCCTCTAATGGAGTGTAGTAGCTGGTCTCCCTGCTTTAGCACTCACATGCGACGCAGACGCTGGCCTAGATTCAGTCACCGTGCTCGGGAGTTTTCAGATTACACACACAATCTGTTTCTTTCAGCGCAGAAGAAATGTTTTGACCTAGAAATGTTCCCATTACATATGATGGCGGCAGTTGTTTGCGTTTTAAAGCTGGATTATTTGTGTTGACATTTATTACTGTTTAGAGTATGAAACCAGCTGTTATCTAAGGTAGGTACTAATGACAGCAGAGCTTTTTAGGTATCTCAAATCCAGAGTCTTTTTTTAAACTAATGTCACTGAGAGGCTTTTAATAGAGCACAATTTGCTAAATTACCCTCTTCAACCCACTGACTCGTTTGCAAGTCTATTATTACAAACATATGGACAAACACTATTTTAAGCCTCAGAATATATTTAAAAGTCTAGATTTGTCAGGGTGAATTAAAAGGAAATATGTGTAAAGTTTCCATTTGATGTCAAGGTGCAGCCATAAAAAAACACAACTCATAATAGTGGTTAGATTCTATAAACAAGTGAACCAAGGAGATAGAGAAAAATCTTCGTCTTCTCTGAATATTAAGCTAAAAGAGGGTCATCTGAAAACTGTGGGGTTCAATTAGTTAAACAAGTGATTTTTTTTTCTCCTCTAAAATCCCCGAGACTGACGGCTCAGCTCATGCCAACAAGAGGTAGAGAGAAAGAGATGAGGAAAGGGTAGTGCGTCATCTCTTTTTCTCCCTTTTATTCTAAAAATAGCCTAGCCTCCTGATTGCACAGGCCTACGTTTCCAGGGCAACAGTGTTCATTCACAGCTTTCTGATCTTGTAGAGGAAGAGGTGTGTGTGTGTGTGGGGGGGGGATCAGGGTGTGAAGTGTTATTATCTTCCTCCATCCGATCCCCACAAACTCTCTCTCAATCTCAATCAAAATGTAAAAATATTGTCTGTGAATGTGTGTCCGATGAGAAATGAATCCCCTCCCCTGTTTACTACGGTATTTAATTTCACCGCCATAAACACCTTAATTGTTCCGACATAATAACCCCTAATGATACCCTAGCCTCTTTGGTATATTATGTAACATGTGCATTGCCTTTCACTTTCTTTGTGTGAAGATGACTCAGGAGATGAAGGCCCTGTACCTCAGGAGGACCGAGCCCTAACCCAAGGGGTGCTCAAGACTCTGGCCAGCAAGCTAGATGACCTGAGCACCTGTAATGAGCTGATAGGAAAGCACGGCGCCGCCCTCCAGCGCTCCCTCAGCGAACTCGAGGAACTGCGCGGATCCGCTGACAGCACAGACAAAGTGAAAGCTGTTAACGAGCGAGCCACCCTCTTCCGCATCACCTCCAATGCTATGATCAATGTGAGTTCACACAGTGCAAGCCTCAGCCGGTATAACGGCTGTAAATGGGAGACTGATCAGTTGCGGATGTCTCTTTTAATGAGGGAACGCAGCTCGAGGGCTCTGCCTGAATCTTTTTGATGTGTGTTGTTGTTCACACCTCAGGCTTGTCGTGACTTTCTGGACGTAGCAGAATCTCACAGCCGGAGGTGGCAAAAGGCCCTGCAGTATGAGAGAGAACAGCGTAGCCATCTGGAGGAGACCATCGAACAGTTAGCCAAACAGCACAACAGCTTAGAGAGAGCCTGGAGGGAGAACCCCACCTCATATACAGGTGAGACAAATCACTCTCTCTGTCGCCTAACTGGGGTCTTACAGAATAAGAATATGGCCCTCTTCTGGCCAGTAGTAGTGATGCATGTCTGTCACAGAAATGTGGCCCAGTCTGACTTATTGTAGTTCATTTATCTGCAGGAGAAGACAACAACAGGATAGCCCTCTTAAACTACCAGTTTAGTGCCAAGTATAATGCTTGTTACAGGTTAATACGCAAGTGATTTGTATATGAAGTTACTACGGACATTTCCTGTGTGTTTTCATGGCAACATAAAGCAACGTACACAGCAATAAATAGGCTAAATAATTAAGGAACGATAATCAAATTGAATCAAGTCAGAGCTTCAATCAATCTACAATCGTTACTGCAGGAGTATTCTGTCATACTCCCCTTGTCCTGTGTTTGTTGCCGTAGGTGTGGAGCGGTCTCAGGAGGGGGATGCGAGTGATGAGAATGATGAAGCAGAGTTCTTCGATGCCATGGAGGAGTCCCCTGCATTCATAACCGTGACTGCTAGTGGCAACACACAGCACAAGTGAGACATTATGTCTGTACAGATCTCAGAGCTGTGTCCTAGATCAGCCACAAGCACAGTTACTTTGAACTGTATTTAAATGATGTATCTTTCTTTCAGGCGCTCAGGGAGTAATCAGAGTATGATGAGTGGAGGAATGTCCAATGACTGGACTCACAATGAGAATGTAAGTCCCAAGCATGCTGATGTTATTGTTGTTGCCATACACACTCATATGCACACATAAAAATCATAACCTACATATCTGATCTTTTGTTTGTGTGTTTCAGTTTTAACATACACTAAACCTTTGTGTTTTAACTTTTTCAGGACACCTCAGGCACAAACCACATGCAGCTAGGAAGAACAAGACGCAGTCGTATTCCTGACAAACCAAATTACTCCCTTAACCTGTGGAGCATCATGAAGAACTGCATTGGCAAAGACTTGTCCAAGATACCCATGCCTGTAAATAAAAAACATACCGTACAAATTGGCTATAACATAGTTTTTGAATTTGGATAAATGGGTATTCTTAATGTGGACTTATTGGCACCACTTACAAGAAATCTTCTCTGTCTGTGCGTGATTGTAGGTAAACTTTAACGAACCGCTGTCGATGCTGCAGCGGCTGACTGAGGATCTGGAGTACAGCGAGCTTCTGGACCGGGCGGCTCGCTGTGACTCCTCTCTGGAGCAGATGTGCCTGGTGGCTGCCTTTTCTGTCTCCTCCTACTCCACCACAGTCCACCGTACAGCCAAGCCCTTCAACCCTCTGCTGGGGGAGACTTACGAGCTGGACCGATTGGACGAGTACGGTTATCGCTCCATCTCTGAACAGGTGAGACAAACATAGACACATATTCTTACAGGTTTATTTTACACACACAGATTGAACGATAGTAAAGAACTAATATAAATACGTTATGATGTCTGTATTGCCTCTGCTGACACCAGCTGATGCCATTCACTCTCAGGTCAGTCATCACCCACCAGCTGCCGCTCACCATGTGACGTCACAGCGAGGATGGACCCTGTGGCAGCATATCACTATTGATAGCAAGTTTCGTGGGAAATATATTTCTGTCCTGCCATTAGGTAAGAAATAAGTGAAGTCAGAAATGTTATGCTCACAGTATAATATATATTACTACAGGCCAGATATAATCTGTAAATACACAAAAAATATTTGTTAGAAGATGGATAATTGATCATATTCTAGTAATGTTTCTTTGTCCTTCCTCTCTTCACTGTAGGAAACATTCACCTGCAGTTCCACTCAAGCGGAAACCACTATGTGTGGAGCAAAGTGACTTCAACGGTGCACAACATTATTGTGGGGAAACTTTGGATTGATCAGGTGTGCACCTCTCAAATGTTTTCCTGCTTTAACTGTCAAAAACACAACCTCTGATTTTTGCATTTGTGCCAGTACCAGTAAAAAGTCACATCTGATTTCCTGTCTGTTGCTGTTGGCAGTCTGGGGACATTGACATTGTAAACAACACTACCAAGGACACCTGCCGTCTCAAATTCTCCCCCTACAGCTACTTCTCCAGAGAAGTCCCACGTAAAGTAAGTCTGTTAATCTTTTCATTCTGTGATTAACTAAGAATTCAGATGGGAAACAGACAGCAAGCATCTTTGTTGGTTGTTGGTTGGTACAGTTTTACACCTGCCAGAAGGCAAAATTATACAGAAACACAAGACTGTGGCAAGAATCTACAACAATGATTTAGCGGCTCTTGCCTAACACTGATGTTTGCAAACCTTGTATCCTCTATGCTTTGCGCTTATCAGCGTAGATAACCTTCAAGAGATGTCTTACTCCTGAAAAATGTCCGAATCAGAATCTACCTAGAAAAAAGGAAATAAAATGCTGAGCAGTCAGAGTGTGCATGTAACTAATCTCTGCCTGTGTATCATATTCTCTGGTGTCTGTAGGTGACAGGAGTGGTAGAGGACAGAGAGGGCACCGCCCGTTATATCCTGTCAGGAACCTGGGACGACAAGATGGAGAGTGCCAAAATAGTGGACAGCAGCCAAGGATGTGGAGGCTCTGAAGGCAAACAAAAGACAGTTTATCAGACTCTTCAGCCCAAACTCTTGTGGAAGAAATATCCTCTTCCGTATGTTTATCTTATCGAACACATTTCTACCTCACATATGTGATCTGTGCTCTCCTGTTTCTCTTCCCTCTCTGTCAGACTGTCTGTCTTATTGTGTTGTCTCTTCTATCATTTACTCCGCAGAGACAATGCAGAGAACATGCACTTTTTCTCCTCCTTGGCTCTGACTCTCAATGAACCAGAAGAGGGTGTTGCGCCCACTGACAGTCGCCTGCGGCCAGACCAGCGGCTGATGGAGGCAGGTCTGTGGGATGAGGCAAACGTCCAGAAGCAGCGTCTGGAGGAGTGTCAGAGGATAGAGAGGAAGAGAAGGGAGGCTCAAGCCAATCAGGCCCTAGAGGAAGGTGAGAGCAAGGAAACCAACAGAACAAGAGGGATTAGGTTCCCCTCCACTCAAAAATGTGTTTCAGTTATTGTTATTTTAGAAAAGCCAATCAAAACTTGACATATTGGGTGCACATATGCTGAGAATGGACTTTTCAGTGTCCAGTAGCAAAACGTTGGAAATGAACAGGTCATTTTATGTCTTAAAACATGTGTGGAGGGCATCTTTAACATAGATATCCTGCCTTTTACCTCTTACACGGCATTCACATTACCGTCAACAGCGCTCGAAATCAAGGATGTTCCGTTGTCCCAGGGACAATAAAAATAGCATCTGGGACACAAAGATACAGTGTCGGGGACAATCCTGGGGCAGTAGAGGAATTTATCATTACAAATGAAATTGTTACGTTCATGGGTAATGGAATATAAATAAATCGAATCGTCAGGTGTTCACCAGTGTTGCCAACTTGGCAACTTTCTTGCTAGATTTAGCAACTTTATTTCTGAAAAGTGACCAACATGCTGCAACATGTAATCGCAGTCTGTCCCGCTCCTCTTGCACCAGCAGTCAGTAGGTGTAGCGTGTCTCTCTCACTCTGTCTCTCTAGATTACCGAGTTCCTTTAGTTTAACCTTTAAGTAAACTATTTGTTTGAACTTGTAAATATTTCATAGTTTTTTTTTACTTTCTTTCTCCCATTATAGATTTTCTAATAAGCTTTTTTACTTTAAATATACAATATCCCTGTAGTGAGATTGGGGTCATTTGGCCAAATAATAATAATAATAATAATAATAATAATATCAAAGTGTGTGTAAGTGTAAACAAGAAACAGTAACTCAACCAAACACCTAGGGTGTCTTCAATTTGTTATTCAGGCGTTTCTTTTCACACTTCTGCTTTTTCAGCAACACTTTGCAATTTATTTCAGGGTTCAGCATTCACACCCACCTGCAGGAAATACATTTTAAAGTTTGCATTCTGCTTTCTTCAGACACTGGTTATTTTCCACGAAGAGAGCACAATAGTTAAAGTGTAAGAAGAAAGAAAATATAATACAAAATAGTACAAATTCCAATGATGCCTTAAGAAAACATGATTCTGTGTCATTAGGGCAAGACATTGAGGGTTACCAGCCACTGTGGTTTGAGAAAAGGACCGATGATTCAACAAGAGAAAGCACCTACGTCTACAGGGGAGGCTACTGGGAGGCCAAAGAAAGACAAGACTGGAGCCAATGCCCTGAGATCTTCTAGGACAAACATACACCGTGGCATCAAACAGGCTGAGTGGCTCCTCCTGCTGTAAGGACAGCTGTTTGTATGTGGATGTGTGTGTGTCCAGGGGGGCGTGAACCAGCTGTTGAAAGAAGCCGCCACTCCCAGAATTTCAAGCACAAAACAAGCTCCTGCTTCCACCTACTAACCTACTCTCTTCTGCTCTATTATAACTTGTGTTTTCAGAATGCATGGCCTCAGTTTCTGTGTGTTGTGTGTGTACGCTTACTCAGCACTGCAGAGAACTAATTTATGAGAGTACATGAAGTTCTCGTGTGTGTGTCAAAGTGTGCACGGGGCTCAAATGTTGACATATGCTTTACAGAGAAATGATTTCTACGCCAAAACACTCTGGTTACAGTGGGTGTGTTACGGGATAACTTGGGGGCAAGGAGTTGTACAAGAACTGAATGTCTTGTTCTCCCCAAAGCTGGAACATCAAGTTCCTCATGCTGGGCTCTGATAGGGAGGACTGCAGCAGGACAAAGCATTCTTCTGCACTGAAAGGCTTTTTCACAGCAGAACTTCATTAATGGATCCCCCCCTGATTCCTGGGGATTTTTACTGTTACATTTCTTGAAATTAATATGTATCTTCAAGTATTTACAGGACAGTGGAGTTTTAAACGTTTACCCAGCTAGGGGGGTCTAACTAAAGACACTGATGAGTTGTATTATATGAATTGTAGGATCCAGTATTTTTGGAGCTTGACCTATAAGAAGAACTAAAAGTCAGGATATCTCGAAATCTGTTGTATCTATTTTGACCACTCAGTTTTAAATTAGTTTCTCATATCCCCCCTATAGAAGTGCAATATAACAGTAAATCGCTGGAGTACCACTTCAGATATCCTCTGACATACAAATCTGCTAAACCCGGGGGATTTTCTTCAGCAAGGAATTATATTGGTGCTCAATAGTAGCTTTAGCCTTAATTAAGTAATGAAGTAGTAAGTCCCCACAAACCACTGCATCCAAACTCTGAGGTTCTGTACAGATTATATAAATCTGGCCGGCTATGTTTTTTTCTTTTGAGGAGACTTACATTTATACTTCAGGGTGATTTTTAATTTATTTTGTGTGAAATTGACTTAAAATATCAGGGCTTACCATCTTCCCACTCGTTTCCCCTAGTTAAACAGTAGAAATGTCCAGCTCTGTGAGTGGTTTCTATATGAAACATTGCATTATTTGGACACGTCAGCAATAACACAACAGCACAGTCGCTTGAGAAGAAAATACTCCCAAGTCAGAAAGGTGTTTTATGCAGCAGAAAAAAATCTGTTTTAGTAACAGTATTCCTTCAGCTGAATGACGGTAATGTAAAGATATCTGATTTATACACATCAGTCAAAGGACCAGAAACCAATAACAGAAAGGCTTAGCAATACATATGCTAAGCCTTTTGTGTGCAAGCAAGCACCGGTGTACATAAGTAGTAAATATATATTCTATAACCAATAATAACCTATTGATTTATAGTTTTCAGCTTACTGTGTATAATAACTGAATGACTGCCTGGTTGTTTTTGGCCTGTATATAGCAAGAATATAATAGACATGGATACACCTCATTTATAGTAACTGTAGGAAAATATTGTTTCACGTTACTTGAACATTCACATTTCGGTCAATACTTAAACTCTACTGTGTATACATAATCTTAAATGGAGATTGTATACCAGTTAATGAGATGTTGGAGAAATTAAATGATGAATATACGATATAGTATTATAGTATTGATGATGCAAATAAGGTGTTGTTCAAATGAAGCACAATGTTATGTTTACCTGCAGGTAATGACGCTTGCTACATAAACTCAAAGGTTTCCATGGCAACATATACTGTAGCTATGCATGGTTTTAGAGCGCTTTAATAACTTCTGTAGTGAAAAGCCTCTTCACCTAGTTAACTGTTTGTGGACTCTTATTGAAACATTATGTGAACTCACCTTTTGTGCCCAATTACCTCAAAAATTTTACATTTTTGAGCTCAAATAAAAAGATAAAGCTGTCACCATGGTGTTGTTTACTTTCTAACCAGTGTTCATTTAAATCTTTTGTCTCACAAGGGACAGATGATACAGAAGACATCCAGAGAAACAGTGTCTGTCATGATGCCTGGAGGCAAACAATACATTTATCTTGGGACAGTGTCTCTGGTCTGGGATGAGGTTAAATGCCAGCTGCTGTCACAAGTGCCAAATAACAAACCACCAGAAACATCTCATCAGAGACAATACATAAAAGACTTGCTTACTCAGTTTAAAGGTTTGGATATCTCAACTATCCATAAACTTTAATTCAAGATTGTACTTCATTATGTCACAGCCAATAATAACATTATATTTGTGGTCCTAATAGCTCATCTGGTAGAGCTGGTGCCCCATGTGCCAAGGCTGAGTCCTTCCTGCCTGTCATCTCCTCTCCTTCCCTGTCACTCTTCAGCTGTCACTGTCGATTAAAGACAATAAAAGCCCTAAAAATACTCTACAAAGTACTACACAAAGTAAAACACACACACACACACACACACAAACAAATCAAAAGAAATAACAGAGAACATGGGAAGCAAACTTGTAGGGCATACTGCTGTATGGCTGCACAGGGTTGTGAAAGGTCAGAGATGTAGCCAGTTAAATAAATTGTTAAATGGTCAACCTGCAAGGATGAGGGTCATGTATATGAATTGAGAACAATGTTTTTCTGTCAGCCTTTGTTTTATTTGGGACTAAATCGACCTGCATTCATTTCAATAGGGCTTTACATTGTTATGTCAACTTCTCCAGTGTGCAATGTAGTCAGACAAGAAAATATATAGTTTTTACATTAACTTACATACATTAGGTGTACAGTTCCTGTAAAAATATGGTTTGTCTTTATCCTCAGTAGTGAATGAAAAGAAAATGATTTCCACATTTACTTTTTCTACATGATTTATACTTCCACCTGAACGGAAACAACATAATTTCCATGTTAGTTATTTGAATACAGATGACTCTATACCTCGAAATAGCATGATTAACGAACCCCATCTCTTCATGTAGAAAAAAATAATAAACATTTACTGTGTATAGAAACATTGTACTGATGTATATGATTAACTAGGTTGATGCTAATCTATATGCGTAACATTTCACAGGTAATTATTTGCATTTTTCAAAATAAAACCCTGCGGTTGCTATGTGTCCTGACTCGCCCTGAACACCTCATATGATGATGAAATAAAAGGTTCATAATCGTCATGGGACGGCTCGTGAGCTTGTGAGGCTCCAACGCTTCAACAAACCCGCACAGGAGAGCGGTTGCGTTCCGCCGCCGTTAAATGAGTGCCATTGCCCTTTAAATAAACCATCCAATAACAACTCTGAAGTGCGTCCGCCGCCTCGGCTTGGATGACAGCACGGTGACCGACTGGCGGAGATTTAGGGGATGCTGCCACTGTTGTCAAGGTACCCCGTCGGATAACAAGGTAATTTTTTTTTTTACAAACGATAATAAGAGAATGTCAGTTGAGGTGTTGCTAACGTTCGCTGTTCGAATGGATGCGAACGCCGCGTCGAGCCCTAACGGTTAACGGCTGTTGTCTCTGTCCGTTGGTTGCTAGCTCGCCCGTTAGCATGACAGCACAAGCCGAAAGACGCTCAGCTGTCCGGTGTCAAGTGACAGCTCAGTTCAGCGGCAGAGGTCAGCCAACTTAACCCACCTTTACCGTTTTCATTTCGTCACACACATGGGCTGTTGTGCTCTGCGGTGCCCCCCCCCTCCACCCGGCTGTTAAGACATAAAGTGACGCTAACAATTCAAACATGAACGGAATAAAACGGTAACCGCTGTCTGACCAGCTAACGGCTAACTAACGGACTAATGGTGAAACCTTGGTGTTTAGGAACAACAACAGTGTGAGTTGCCAGGGTTTCCCTCTCTGCTCCAATGCTCGGGAAGGGGAATCACAAGATCCCCTCAGGCAATGAAGTAAGCTGCTATTTAAAGCCAGCGTGGAAAAAAAAAAACAACCATAACTCATGCGAGGAGCTGCTGCGCTGTCTGATATTTAATAAGATTATAGATACTCGGTGTTTCAGTTGCCCCATGATGTTTACTCCACTGCTGGGTTGTTGGTGCATCACTGAGTCGTCACCGTCACTCCATTGCTGTATGTCAGGATAATAACCAATCCCATCAGTCCCCGTCGTGGAGAAGGCGCGTACAGTTTTCCAGCCCGCCCTGAACAGCTCTCCTCTTTCCTCCCCGTCTTCCTGCCTTCCTGCTCCAGCATATGTCTTTTTCTTTTTCTTTTTTTTTTTTTGCCTGCGCAGGGGTAAGTTACACAACTAGCCCGCCATGCAAAATAGAAACACGTGTCTGTAGGCGGTGCAGAGGAGGGCAGGTTTACCGGACAACAAAGCCCGCAGAGGAGAAAGACAGCTGTGTCGCAGGTTGTTTTTGTCGCGATTTACGTTATGTAGCCCCGGAAACTTCTGATCTCGCATTGCACATTTTGACATGAGGGTTACGGGCTCAACATGTGTTTTTCTTCCAGAGAGGACAATGATACGAACATGATCAACGCCGATGGCTTCTCCAAATGCGAGGCGACTCTGCGAGCCAGAGGCAGGAGGAGGCCCCCCGCAGAGATGCTCCATCTGCTGTCAGCTGTTATCGTGTGGCTGGTGACGGGGACCACCATCTCCAGCCTCAACAAATGGATATTCGCGGTTTACAACTTCAGGTACCCTCTGCTGCTGTCGGCGCTGCACATGCTGACGGCCATAGTGGTGGACTATGGGCTGATCAAACTGCGGGTGGTGCGCCACAGAGGGGCCGGGGAGCAGGACCTGACCCCCAGTGCAAAATGTAAGGTGTTCCTGTTGAGTCTGACATTTTGTGCCAGCATCGCCTTCGGGAACATGGGTCTGAACTATGTCCAGCTGTCGTTTGCACAAATGATCTACACCACCACGCCGCTCTTCACTCTGGCCATCTCCACGCTGATCCTGGGCAAGCAGCACCACATCCTCAAGTACACAGCCATGATGCCCATCTGCCTGGGAGCCTCCTTCAGCATCATGGGAGAGGTCCAGTACGACCAGACCGGCTGCTTCTTCGTGTTCGCCGCAACCATGTTGAGGGGGGTCAAGTCCATTCAGCAGAGTAAGCACCACTTTCACTGTGTCCCGTCGGCGTTTCCCCCCGCCTCAGGCTGTCTGTGTTTTGTTGTGTGTCCGTCGTCACTGGCGACTGGAGAATTCACATCACGCCACAGACGCGAGAGGTTATTTTAGTGTTTCCCTCCCAGACGGCGCTGCAGTCTGTGGTCGTGGAACTTTTCGGTCCGGTGAAACACACCCGCACAGACTCACATTAAGGTGGAATGTCACAGTTTCTGGTTTCTTAGGAAACATGCAAACATCAATGAGTGTCTGTGAGTAAGAAGGGGCCGGGTCTCTGCACATCCCGGGGGCATGAGGATGACAAGAATCTGATAAGTTTCACAGTTTTTTTTTTTTAAAGTTTCTCTCATTTGCTACCATTGTTTCTGTTTCCTGAATACATTATTTACAAACTGGATTCAAGAAACTCCAAAACAAACAGAGAGGCCTAACCACTGTTTTGTTTGTAACGGACCAGAGCGACATACACTTCCTGCTATTGCAGCATATTTTAGAATTAGGAAAGTAAACGCGACGTGTTACAGACAGTTACAGACTCATTTTCAGTAATTTAATTGTTGTTTTTTGTTGTTTTTTGTATATATACACACACCCGGGACTCCTGTTACTATATAATGTTACTGAGTGGATTATCCTGTTGAAATAAAGAGACCTTCAGTACATAAAACACCCATTCTGAGATTGAATGTACGGTTCCACTTCAGACGGATTCCTCTCTCGAATTAATGTCACAAGAGTGGTGCCTTCACCGGTTTATCTAATGTTCTGTGCTCTCAGGAAAGCAATTTGTGGAATTCCTTTAAAGTTGCTTACTGCGTGCACCGGATTAGGCAGCATTGTAGGAGGTAGTGGAGTTTGTCAAACTAATATAGAGGCCTTGTATTAGTTGTTATGTAACACTAGAGCAGATCTTCAGTTTGGTCAGAAGGACTTAATGCAGCAGAGGAGCTCCAGTGCTGAAGATGTGTTTGTGTTCTGTTAAATAAAGATAACACACATACAGTCTGCGTTGGAGTTTGTAAACCGCGTCCTTTGATCGAAGGAACATTACTTTTATTTTGCCGGAACTAACTGGACGATGCTGTCTCCAGTTTCAACACGCTATTTTCATCCTCTCTCACTTGTTGTTGTTGTTGTTGTTGTTGTAACAGTTTGTTAGTTCACTCCTCTCCGACACTGCATCACAAGTTGTTTCTGATCGGTGTACGGCGACGGACATTCACTTTCACACACTTTATTATTATTATTATTTAGCCAAACGATGACAGACACACAACAGGGAAGGAAACAAAGTAAAAGTTACAAAGTGAGGGCGAAGATCAAACAAACTATTTGAATATTTACAAGCTGAAATGAACTACCGGTATTTAACTATTTACACATAAGCTAAAGGAACACAGGAGAGAAACGGTCACATATGCCCCAAATATTGGGAATGAATTACAATAAATATATATATATTGTGTGTGTGTATTTATACATAGTGCCACCTCCACATTTTTAAAACTTGAATGCCTTACAATTAAAACGACTAATTTTCCATTTCGCTTAAACATAGTAATTTAATTTGTATTGATACATTTCTCTGCTGTCCCAGAGACTGTATCTTTTTTATTTTTACATCAGGATCAGGATCAGTGCTTCTGAGCTTGTTGTTCTTTAGTGATGATCAGAGAACGGACTGATCTTGTTTTGTTTGAATATGAAAAACACAGTTCCTGTTATGTCACCTGAACCGCTCGCTCACTAAAACACTGCAGGTTTCTCCAAATATCTGAGGTCAGGCCTCGTTGACCCACAGTGACTGATACTTCCTGTGTTAAAAATGCAGTAGAAGAAAAAGTAGTTATTGACATCTCTCTGGTCTTCTGCATTTAACTTCAGGTAGAAGAAAAAAAGACGTTTCTATCCTCTCTCTCTCTTCTTGTTCTCTCAGTGTCCCTCGTCACTCCTCTCTGACACACTTCTTGTCTTGTTGTTTAAAGCTCTCCAGTCAAAGCTTTTGATTTACACACAACGCGTCAGTAAACACGACGTCGCACTGTAACCGCTGCATCCGTTTCTGTTTACCCAGGCATCTTACTTCAGGAGGAGAAGATCAACTCCGTGTTCCTGCTCTACCTGATGTCCATTCCTAGCTTCTGCATCTTGGCCGTGGCTGCTCTGGCCTTAGAAAACTGGGCCGTGCTGGAGTCGCCGCTGCATTACGACCGCCACCTGTGGGTCTTTATCTTGCTCAGCTGCCTGGGCTCAGTCATGTACAACCTGGCCAGCTGCTGCGTCATCACGCTCACCTCCGCCGTCACTCTGCATATCCTCGGCAACCTAAGCGTGGTGGGGAACCTGCTGTTGTCTCAGCTGCTTTTCGGCAGCGAGTTGTCCGCCCTCAGCTGCGCCGGCGCGGCACTGACGTTGTCCGGCATGCTCATTTATCAGAACTCGGAGTTTATCGTCAGCTACATGGACGCGCGCAAGGCCAAAGCCAAAAAGTCCGGACAGGTGGGTTTCCACAGCGCAGGTGGAGAGGACGTGGACGAAGCCAGCGCGTCTGAACCAACATATCATCAGAGACCGGAGGGGAAGCAGGAGGACAAGATGGACTGAACTGAAAGGATGAAGGAGAGAATAAAACGTTGAAGCATAAAGTGATTTAAGTTTGAATTCTCTTTCCCCCCCTTGTGTCTTTAAAGGGTCTAGAGTTGCAGAGGGAGTGCGACCTTATAAGGCCGCTGTCACTTAATGATGTGACAGATTTATTAACTTCCTCACCGTGCCAATTTAATTTCTCCTCTGGTCACACAGAAGCGGAGTCTGCCGAGAGGAAAAAGGAAAAAGGTTGCCTTTATTTATCGCGATGGTGGTTTGAATTCTCTCCTTCATCTTGAATCACTCATACATAGCCTATAGCAGTATATGCATGCATGAGCACACTAAACTGTTTGATACCTCATCAGGTATTCACACCGTCACTCACTCTACTCCACTGTGAAAACGTTCTCATTTACAGAGGGCTCTAATAAATGTTTTGGGTGACTGTTGTGAATATTGTAGAGCTATTGAAGGGGGGCGGGGCACAGAGAGCAAACCTGAACGGGCACAATTTATATTTAAAGATATATATTGATAGTACTGTTACCTGAGACTCACCTGGCCCTGTCATGGTAAGGGACTGGGTTTTTGGCAGCTTTTTTTTTTTGTTTGTTTGTTTGTTTGATGTGAATTGGGAAGCTTGTTAATTAAGGACACTAAAACTGTTGTTTAGAGGCAGAAGTTACAGTGATGGAGAACGTTTCTGTGCGGTTTCTGAGACGCCTCTTTTCCTCTGCTGAAGCACATTTTTAACAAAAGGCCTGAGCTTTGTGTTTTGTCCATCCCCAGTGAACCTCGGCGTGGCTTCCCACCTAAGTCCCAGATTTTGTTCTCGCACCAGCTTGAAAAGACGGTCTCTGTAGAATTAGTCCAATTATTTCCATCTTCTACAACGGGGCACTCACTGCGGCGTTCCCAGATAATTAGGTTCACAAGTTCTCTAAGGAGTGTCACTCAACTTTAGCTGTCTATTCCCTGCGGAGGAGAAGATTGAGCTGTCCTTTAAGGTTGCTTCTTAAATCCTTACCAATGTCATCTGTTAGGCTTAGTGTTTCCCTTTTTGTGGGCGACATTTTTTTAGAAAGTTAGTTACCAGCACAGCTCGAAAAACTGACCTCTGCTGGACAGTGTTGTGTTTTCTCTCAGTATTTGAAAAAGCATTTTATTGACATGATTTTATTTTGTGACAAAACATATTCCCCCTTTTTAAAACGTATGTGGAAGAAGATATTTATTTTTCGAATGGTCATAGCAATCACTGGCTTTGTAATGCTGTAGATCTTTGTCCTCAAGTGTCTTGCACATACATACATGTAATATTAGACGGCACTAGTCTCTCCTGCCGTCGCTCTTCAGAGTAAAGTCAGGTAAACTAGGCAGACAACTGCATGCCGCTGCTCCTGAAATCATCTTTGGGGATGTCTGTTTCCACACACTCCCTCCGACGTGTATGATATGCCAAATGTTTACTTTGAAAGCTTTTTATCACACACACTGTTATAATATTGGTTCGGTCAGTGAGCAGACATGCTCACATACGGTTTGAGCTGTCATGTGACAACAAACAAAACAAAAAAAAGCCATAAATCCAAGAGTTTATGACACCCGCCACGTTTCTGTGCATATTTTGAGTGACTGCAGGTGGGATTGTATGTATTGTTGAGAGATTTAACTTTTTCAAGGGTGCCATTCATAAAATGACATTGTCACTGAGCATCATGTCAAATGAATCTAATTAATTAACTAAAGATCATAAATCTGCAGACAGTTCAAAATAAGTTGAAAAAGCTATAGTTTTATGTCCCAGTTGGATAAATGTCAATGTTGGTTTAATATTTCCAGATAATAAATGTTGTTGTCATCCTCAGTTACATGGTTGAAGAGTATGTGCAGCAGATGATTTCACTGGTTTTACATTATTGAATACCTCAGCTGTTAAACAGGACTCATTACGCCCCTCTTGTGTTCATTGATTAACTATTGGACTGAGATCAAGCAGCTTTTCAACAACCACAATAAAACTGCAGCATGTGAATTAAGGATTTTACTGTGTTCAGTAGAGAATCTAATCACCGATTACACACTCGAGTTGATCAGAACTGCCTCTGCTGTCGTCTTTTAGTTTAATAATCTCAGTTTGGCTGCTTGTTCTAATGGATATCATGTTGAGTGGATTATGAGTGTGGGGCAAAGCAACTGTTGCACTGAAAAGGCACAAAGACGCTGCCCCTCGAAGCCTGTGGTTCCTGTGTACATACTGGTTTTAAATATTTGCAAAGCTAGTTGGGTGTAAATAGTTATTTTATTATATTTATGTATTTTATAGTCATACATGGCTGGTTTAAACTGTACTGGTTTAAGAATGACACATTTGCCTCATGCCTTATTTGGACATACTGTAGATGAGAAAGGAGTGATTTGAGTTGTCATTTTGTCAAAACATTTTTTTGGTTAATACTTTGAATGCCAACTGCAGCTACAGGTGCTTCTGTTTGGGGGCAAAGATATCTACGATTTATACACGTGATCTGCAATTGCTTGAATAAAAATAAATGGACTGGTACAATAAATAATAACAAAACCAACCATTACTCCTCTTTACTGAGTCAGTCGTTACCTACACCAAAAAACTGTTTTAATTTACTTTCAGTCTACATTCTTTGATCTTGTGTGACTTCTAAATACATGTTTTTGGAGGATATAAAAGGATATTTCACCTTTGTAAATTGTTAGCAATAAGTTTCATGGAGCCATTCAACAACTTTCTGGAAAATACAGCACATGAGATGTTGAAAAGGTTACACATGATGTTTTCATGATCGATTAATAGTATATAAAACAATGCAAAACAGCCCTTAAAAGAGACCTCACATTGCTGTTTTACCCGACCAACATTACACAACTTAACATTACGTAAATCAGCAAATCCTCACATTGTAAAGCTAGAAGCTGTGAATGTTCGACACTTTTTCTTCATTAAATTACTTAATGACAATCAGTTATGAAAATTGTTTACTGATTAATGTTTTGTCAGCACACTACACGATTAATCCATGAATCATTTTAGACGTACGAAGTCCAAATGTCTGCTGTGGAAAAGATTTATTAAACCACAGTTTGTTGTCAAACACTGTGAGGTTAGGGTTAGTTAGTTGTGAGCGTTCACCACTTGGTGGAGCAATTTGTCTGCTTTCTAACTTAAGATCATTCTTTAAATCTGCCGTAACTTTTAAACACTACATTTAATCACGGTTGAAGTCGAAGAGTGTTTTTTGCCAGTGTTGCTTTCTTCCAGGTTTGTCTCTCCTCTGTCCTCTCTTGTAGAGATTCCTCTGCTCCTGTAAACAGGGTGCTACTGGTCAGCCTTTTGCCTGAATAAGGCAGTGCTCCTCACTTTTTCCCCTTGTTAACTCTTTGCTTTCCGCCCCTAAAGTATTCAGCACCCTCCAAATGAAGAAAAAAAATGTGATTTAAAAAAAAAACCTGAGTTTGGCAGAGGGACTGCCCCATCATTTTTCACATGACATCATTCAGGATGCAGTGACAAGACGGCGAGAGATTGCTGAGGGTGACTTCTCCCTCCTCCTCCTCCTCTTTCCCATCTTGGGTGGTTCATATAAGCAACCTCCACTCGCTGTCCAAACTTGCATCCTTATGAAGCGCTGCAGTGTTTAGGTGTGATCTTAAGGCTCAACTCTCACATCTCTCCAGACAAGTCTAAAGGAGGATCAGGGTGAAGAGAGGGGAGCGCTTAAAACTTCTAAGCCCAGAGACTACCAACTAGACACACAAGTTTGCATCCTGACAACAGGTGAGTGACACGACAGCCCAACAGCCTCCAATCATTATTCTCACTGTCTAGTGTTCACATTTTTATTACTTTTTCCTCCTTATCTTGTGCCATCAGGCTCTACTGCCACCATTCCTGAGCGCATAGTTTTACGCTGTTATCAAATTCTTTAAGCAATGGTCTCGTTCCACTACATTACTATATTTGTACGTGTTTTTGCCCCTTCTGTGCTGCACTCAGTTGCTGAGATACACTGAGAGGTACTTCAGTAAAACAAACATTGCTCTGCATGGCTGCTCAGTTAATGTCTGTTAAGACTCACACAACTGTTTATATTTGAGTTACTGCGATGTGATTTTACGCTCTGTTAATGACATTATTCACTTTGTTTAGAGAAAAACTACCAAAAGTACCAGCTCTGTTTAAGTTATTTAAACATTTTCGAATCTATGTGAACTATAACTATTAAGTTGTTGCATTTACGTGTGAGAAAGGTCCCTTTCAAACATCTGTCTCTTTTGTGTTTAAGCTTCTTCACTTGCAGCCTTTGCAGTTCTTGTCCTGTGAAATATTCTCAAGAAAAGTAAATGTGTCTTTAGTTTGTGCACTCCTCAGACATGGAGTCAAAATCTGACTCTGGACCAGCTTCATTGACCAGCGAAGAACTGGCTGCTATTGAGGATGAAGGGGTTCTCAACAAGATGGTGAGCAAGTCATTTGTTACTTTAAAGTAGTGGAAAACCAGCTGAAAGTCAACTGATCTCATCATCAAATATCATGCAGACCGTGTTGTTGTTACTGTTGTTGGGGATCAATAAAGTATTACTGATTCTGATTTTGATTCAATGAGAGCTGGGAGGGAATTAATTCCTTACAGATCTTCTTAAATGTTTAATTTTGTATTTTTGCTGTGCTGAAGATTTTCTTTTATCAATAAGACATGAAGAATTTTCTCACTTCTTATTTTTGACAATGAGGTAAAACAAGTAATACAAGTTAATTGTCTGCATTTTTACTTGTTTGCATGTATGCATGGGAATAATACGTTTTTCTAAAGTAAAATGATAAAATATGTCTTGTATGGACTAACTTACTACTGTGTGTGAACTTTAAATGTTCAGTTATTGTAAGATATCTCATTAAGAATGTCCAGAGTGGTGTCTCTTCTTAATCTTTCACCTCTTTAACCAGTGGTTCATGTCTTTAGCTGGACAATGCAACAGATTTTGAAGAGAGGCGAATGTTACGTGCTGCACTGAGGGACTTGCTCAAAAAAAAGAGAGGTAAAATCTGATACTTGCTCCCATGCAAGAGTTAGCCATAACTTACCATAATAACGTCTCCATTATTCCTCTGATCCTTTGCTTGCTTTCTAAATTCTCCACCCTTTCATCATCAGATAAACGGGAGCAGGAGCGAGGGTCGAGGCAGCAGGACTTGAAACAGCAGGGCCTGAGCAAAGGAGGAACAACAGGCGGAGCTGTTAGTATAGGCAGAGCGTCCATGAACCAGCAGCCACCAACAAACAGTACGTTTATGAGGATACTCATTCACACCCTGTCATATTTTGATGTTTTAATCAAATTATGTGAGCTTGTTGATATTAATTTGATTATCTGCATCTCGTTAGAGCCACCAGGCAAATCCTCTCCATCAGCAGGCAGGTAAGTCAATTATAGAGTCAAGTTTGCATTTTTGGGTTTATCAACTATACAAAGCTATGAACAAGTAAAGAATTCATTTAATCCTAGACGCCACATTTAGCCAAATATTTAGCTTCTTTTTGCAACTTAAAGTCCCCCTCCACTCAAAGATATGTTTATCTTCTTGTTCCTACAGTTGTATGTTTGAGCTCCACTGTGCAGGATGATGTATGTGCAGAATTTGATACTAAAAGGATGTTTTCACATTCATCTGCTGAAAGTGGAAAGTTTCTCTGTGTTCACCGAAAAACCGTTTAAGGGGCGGGGCATGATTTGTGACATCACAAATAGTTTGGGAATCAGCCTGATCCAGTATGCAACTTCAGTTCAACAAGTGTGATGTAGAAACTTGAATGGACTTTTTTAAAAATCTTAAATAGCCACATCCACAAAATGTTATATCCTAATTTATAATAGAAATTTGGATTCAGATGGATATTCATATGGTGCCACTACCATCAGCATCAGCACCCGACTGCTGCAAAACAAATTCTTATTACACGTGTAGTAAGCCCGTCTACACAGAAAGAAAAAAGGATCTGAAGCATCTGCAAAGTTGAAAGATGATACTAAACCATACTTTCTGTACATGCAACGTGAATCTTTGTTTCTTCTCCTCAGCCAGGCCAGTCCCACTGCAGCCTCGGCCCTGAAATGTCCTCCTGCTGCAGCACCCAATGCTAAAAATGTCAAACAGATGCTTCTGGACTGGTGTAGGGCCAAAACAGAGCCATATGAGGTAAATGTGTCCTGACTCTCTTTGGCTGTGAATTATTGCCCTGTGGAGCTATATATATATATATGTCTGCCCCTTATGTCTCATTCTCTGCCACTATTTCTTTTAAACTGCCCTCTGCTATGAAACAGGGGGTGAACATTCAGAACTTCTCCTCAAGTTGGAAAGACGGCATAGCCTTCTGCGCCTTGGTGCACCGGTTTTTCCCTGATGCCTTCGAGTACTCCATCCTCAACCCCAACAAGCCCAGGGAAAACTTCCAGCTGGCCTTCAGCACTGCAGAGTGAGTGCTCATTCCTTATATGAAGGAGCAGATGTATCTCGTCTGGAACAAGCTCCAGCAGTGCGCTGCAGATAAGAACAGAGTGACTTCATAGTTCTGTGTCATTGTGTCTCTCCAGTCGTTTGTCAGTGACACTCGCTCTCTGTCTGCAGGAGGCTGGCAGGCTGCCCCCCTCTGCTGGATGCTGATGACTTAGTCCGGATGAAAGAGCCCGACTGGAAGTGTGTGTATACGTACATCCAGGAGTTCTACCGCTCCCTGGTGGAGAAAGGCCTGGTCAAAACCAAAAAGCGAACATAGACAGCTTTCATGATTGGCTGTGATTTCTTTTTTTCTTTTTTTAATACACACACAATCTTGAGCTGAGGTCAAAAAGATCATATTATGCACCTTTTTAAACCAAATATTTACATTTTGTTTTGGTATCTTGCCACGAAGGGGAGGATTAAGTATTTGATGTGTCTGGCTGATGCATCATGTGAATGTAAATGCACAATGTGTTGTATTTGTATCGGCTTGTGTGTTACCAGGGACTTATGGGTGTCTGTGTGCTCTCAGCGGACAGCTGGCGCTTAGGATCAGTACATTCCTCTGAGATTACACATCTGCATTAATCCTGGTCAGAGCCACAGAGAATCTGGGAACAAATTTTATGATGATTCTGAATGTGTGAGTATTAAAGACACATTAAATAAATATCCATTTCATTATACATGCTGTAGTATTTCATTTGCCTGATAACATATTCAACAACTCTTTTTTTATTTAAAACATTTCGGCCAGGTCTAAATCGTTTAAACTTCTTTTGTGTGAATGTGGGATGTATACAGTTAAAGGGGCACTCCACTGATTTGACACATTAAGTTCAGTTTACTCGCCATGAGGAGTGAAAGGAGGCACTGCTAGAGTGCTTCATCAGAGTGAACTTAATTTGTAACAGAAAGCCTTCCATACAAACTTGGGGCGTTGAGTTTAAACAACATGGGTTGTTTACTGACAGGCAGAGCAAATTGTAAATTGTAGGACCCAGTGTTTTGTGAGCTTGGCATGTACTGGGGACTGTCTCGACCTCTGCTACCATGACTTCATCGAGATACAATATTAAGTAGCTGGGATACTCCTTTAATTCTGAGCACTCCTTAAATATTTATAAATGCATTGCAATGGCATCTTGACACACTGCAGTTTACATTTAGCCTACTACCAGAGCTAAAGCTACTATAAAAATTAATAATAATAATAATAATAATAATAATAACAAAATGTTACCTTTATGAAGACCTATTGTGTGTTTTTAGTTGCACAAGGTTTAGTCTCAGTGTCACTGCAATAAATAGTCATTTTGAGGCTCAAGACAATATTAGAAAACCTTCCTTTATTAATGAAACACCACAAACACAGGGCCTCTAAACTGCTATACTGCAACACATTTGTGACATAGTCTCTGCAGAAACTCCATAAGTAAAAAGCACAACATAGTTTTAATTGCTTTAATGATTGCAGTATGTCTTTGCAGCGACCTGCACAGATATCACAGAGGGGAGCACATAGGTTTGCCAGAACTGAAATGTAATTATTGGCGCGCTGATCAATTCAGTGACAATCAGTGACGCACTAATGCCAGATTAATGCGTCACTGATAGGACAGATGCTCAATTATTTCTGGTCGGCTGCACTTTGGTAGCAGCTGATTTTTTGTTTTGCCTTTCCTGCTCTACCCGCCCCCCCAGGTGCCCATATGTTTTTTTACCCAGAGTGCACTCAGTAAGAGAGAGAGAGAGAGAGA